CATCTGGTTCGCTCCCAAACACTACAGCTTCGTGGATGAAACAGCTTTGCAAACAAACGTCAGCCTGATGAAACGCTTTGACGTCTGGGTCTACCAATCTGAAGGCATCAAACGCAGGATGCCTTGGATCAACACGTGGGGCTACCATGAATTCAAGCCAGTCTTGACGACAGCCACGAAGGACGTCAATTTCTGGGGCACCCTGGTCACCCACTCCTCTGAAGTTCGGTTTAGTCCGAGTCCGTGGCACCCGCCGAGCGCCCGTGACTCTGGCACTGTGCTGTACTGGATGCGGGAGGAGGTGTTCTAGGTCCTGTTTAAATGCTCGTAAGATTTGTGCATGTAGCAGAGTATGTAAAAGCCGTTTTTATATGAAGGATGCCTTGATGAAGATAGCAATATTGTTGGCACATAGCATAAGGCTAAGCTACATTTAGAAATAAATGCACAATGATACATGCTTCCATAGACCTCTGTACAGAGGTCTATGATGCTTCTGAAGTGACTTTAACCAAGCTCTTGGTAACGGCTTGCGTGTTTTTAATGTTTTTCATTTGTTCTGAGTTCACTGGTCCATTGTTAGCAATATTCTTATTGGTTAAGGCGCCCAATCAAACATCTTTTTTTTTCCCAAAGAAGAAGCATGTTGCACTGTTGCAGCATCTTGAATAAGAGACAAGGTGTCTCTAAGGAAGTCTTTTGCCGCTGGTGATGCAATAAACAGCATCTGCATTGTTAAATTTCAACTGTACCTAAACCATAGGTCACAACTTAGTAAAAATAAATTCATCTGAGCGGAATCCATTGCCCATGGCTTATTCACGCAACGGTAGCGTTTACAGAAGGAACTGCGCATCGGCGTGTCTCCGAAATCCGAATCGGTACCGGGCCGCTGCACGGCCGCCTCGCGCCGCGTCTGGCGGAGCCCGTGGGCCGGCCGGGCCGTGGCGCGCCGCCAACCAACACAGGCCGCGGCATTCGGCGCCGACTCCGCCTGTCGGGGCCGCCGGCAGGTGCCGACGTCCGCCCACTGGCACCCGTTTACACCGAGCGACGACCGCTGAGTCGGCCAGAAACACTGCCATCTGGCGACAGGTAACGCAACTGTTAGTTTCGATAGCTGCCAGCAGAATCATCGGTGAGCCCCAGCCGAAAAAAAATGATTCGGCCGTCTACCCCTATATTATATGGCCTTGCGTCTACCATTGACGGCTGAATATTTTTTTGTGGGTGTTCCGTGAGCCCTTAAACGATCGTTTTTTTTTTGTTACGTCAACCGTATTGCATTGATAGGAATTGACATTCCAATACCGACTTCTTCAATTGATGATTGCTCCCTTCCCCTCATGCCCCGACTGAGTCTTCCTACAGGGTGTCCCATAATTACCCGGACATTGTTAATTAGCGTATAAAATAAGGCAAACATGATTGCCTTTTTTCTTTTTACCGTCCTATATAGTCAACTAGGGTGGCTGTGAAATAGCACATGCAATAGATACGCTTGTTACAAGATCAGCCGACAATGATGGAAAATGCCAGCCATTGCTGGTCTCAGTTGTTTTACGGGTCTCTCGAAACTGGGTGTAGGCCTGTTTTCTTTGACCTCTTGCCGGAGGATAATACGATCATATAAGATAAACTTGACATCAAAGTGTTCCCAGGCCATAAGGTCCCCTAAAGCAAAAATTTCTGCCTACGCCACTTTTGCTGCGTTTTTTACATCTGGAGTGGAAAAGCTCCATGTCTGAACATTGCGCAACCTTTGGCTTCCAACAGATTTGGTTTCCAAAACAAACCCGTTCATGGCCATTTGGTTCACGGCATCCAGTTTTCGCACTGGTAGAATGTTACCGCAGTAGTACCCTGTACTACCGGTTGTCTTTGGGCCATCATATCAAGCCCAATGAGTGCACGGTGGCTCAAAATGTCTCACAATTTGGTTTCGACGGGTGCCTGGCCGTCTCTGCTGTTGGGGCGTTGTAGCCATCTGACGTTCACACAAACCTTTTTCGGGCGGTTCAAATGACATATTACTGTATGCCTGGCCTATTCAAATACATTAGCCAGAGGGGTGTGGTAATAACTGGTGTAAGCAAATTGACCACGTGCGGTCAAAAACGAATTACCAAGTCAACATTTTGGGATGGCCTCGTTCAAAAAACGGCTAAGAGCTTCGGTCTAGACAATTATTTTATCGTTGGCATACAGTAAAATACATACCAAACTCGGCCGGTGATAAATTTTCAAGACCTCAGTCCTTACTGATTTTTGAACTCGGCCTTCGGCCTCGTTCAAAAATTCAGTAAGGACCTCGGTCTTGAAAATTTATTTACACCGGCCTCGTTCAGTATTATATAATACCTTCGTTAGACCACAAAGTGTGCCTCAATATACTTTTTTGTTGTATATGTTATGTTTTTGGGATGAATTGTAGTGATTTGCGCTGCTTTTCCCGTAGTTTTTGCATATTTTTCTGGCGAAGGACCCCAAATTCCAAAATTTTGTCGAAGATAGTGGTGCAAAGTAGACTGATGTTTTGTAGATAATCCTGATCTATTGTTTAGCTAGTTCTTAGCTAGATCGGTGACGTTTGTTGTCTATGACAAGCAACCACTTGTTTGACAACTGGTGCATGACCCTTTTTGGCCGAGCCCAAGCTTGTCAATCAGGTTTATCTCTTGCTCTCTCTGGCTTCGTTAGCTGATATAATTGCGCTTTGCTCAATCCTAACTGCTTGCAGATGAGCTGCTGAAGTTCCTGAAGCTCTCCAGCAAAAACCATGCCGAAAGTCCGTTTACAAAGTTGAGAACGGGAGTTGATTCACCATGGTTGCCTATTAGTGGCTTAAGCTGAAAACGGAAAAGGACTACTCTTACTTGACTCTGGATAATAATTGATTCGAGTCGTTACCGGCCACCAAAAGCACACAGTCCCCAATCTCGATAGCTAAGGGATATCTTATAAAAGTATGATGGTTGTATATCATTAGAAGCGAGCGCAGTCGTACTTTTAGCCAGAAAATAAATGTCCGGGTAATTCTGGGACACCCTGTAGTTCCTGTGACAACGCTAGAAACAAAAATAATATTTTTATCACAATCCCATATTTGGAACAGTTTCCTCAATGGACGAAACATATTCAAACAACGGTTCAAATATTCATTGACTCGCTACGGCTAGCAAACGGTTAACGTCGCATCGCTAAAATCCCTGCCATGTAGTGCGGCACAGCATCTATCAGGCGTAACTTAGGGTGACATCTATCTGCCGTCTGCCAAACTACCAGTATTGTGGTGTAGCATTATGCGGTGCGGTGTAGGGGAGACATCTGCTGTCTCAATATCAAACTGCAAGATGCCTGGTGTTGGATGAATATCGTACATTCGCATACTTAGATGTTAATTGTTTTATCGGTACTCACTGCACAACAGTCAACACTATCCAAAGATATAGTACCTAACATGGCGGTAAAGAGCGGATGGCTTGTCATCTGCTAAAGATAGTACAATACAAACCAGTCTTTCATTACCGCTAAACGTTGCATGAATACCTACCGGCTACCAACAATTGCCTATCAACGTTAGTCGTTAGGTTATGATAATTGTTCGCTTTCCAAACCGTGATCTAAGTTTCTGGACTCAATAGGTATACAATAAATAATTTTTCAAGTGTCACCTAATTAATCAATTAACCATCCATTCTGCTTATCGCTATCCACATTCTTGCCCACTTTTCCCGGTCTGGGCGGCCATTTCACCTAGACAACAGTGGGCTGCTCGAAAGAGACATCCCATCAGACGAAGAGACATAAGAGACAGACTGCAAAGAGACATCTCCCTGGGAGTGGGGGATGTCTGGAGGGGGTAGCAGTGTGGCGGATTGTTTTACCGGGGTGCATCCGTCCTAATCAAACGTACTGAGCTCACCATGCTCAGTAGATGAGAAGCGCCAGTCGGTTGGCATCCCAATCTGATGTGCTCTTAGCCATTGCAATGAAGGCAAAATTATCTCATTGGAATAAAAATGCATCCAAATTACCCATTAAAACAAATAAGTTAATATTTTATTTTGTTTGTGTCTTAATAATAGCTGTATCTGAAATAACCCTAGAATTGACAGCTCTGTCTCACATGAACCATGCAGCCCTTCGTTCAGGTACACTTACCGTGCCGTCGACATCCAATATGTAGTTTTCTCAGTTCGCAGCGGCACCGATCAGCTCGATCAGCTAAGTGCGTAGGTATGGCATCCAGCCAATCCTCGTCCTCCCGCCCCCGTCTCCACCCACCCATAGACCAAGTCCTTTGTGCTTATGGACAGAACGCCGAGATGACGCGCCAATGCCCCGGGGCAAGGACCGCCCACCACCGGCGGCGGTGTCCGTTTTCCACCAATCAGAGCTCGCGGAGAGCGGCGAGCCCCTGCCGCTCGGAGATTGACGTAATGCTACTGGAGGTTGTCGGGAGCGCGGAAGGTCAACCCGCGATTGGTGCGGCTGAACTTGACACGTGATTGGTCTGTGTATGAGGGAAGCCGTTGCCATGACAGCGAGGTGAACAGACGACTTCTCGAGCAGCCTCCTGACCCAGCAAAATGTACGTGATTCTCAAATGTCCAATGCTCTTGTAACCGTGCTGTCAGGGGATGATATCGTTGCTCTGGACCAGGGACCTCGGAACCCAAATAGCGTAAAACTTTGTTTGGTATGGATGAAACGAAATAAGACATATATAACTTTTCTTGGGGCTTCCATTTATTAATTGATCAGAAAAACAAAAGGAGTCTATTAGGTATATCATACGTTTCATATAAACAAACTGCCACAGCAATAGCTAACCGTTTACGCTCAAATGACTGTGAAGGTGAAGCCCGATACAAATACAACAACGCAGTGGTCCACTGCCCACTGCATAAACTAGCCATATGCCCTAGAGCTGACATCACTCTCATAGCCGTTATATAACAACCATGCTCTTCATAGTAATTCCGTACAATACAAACGACGTTTGGTGGTTCAATATATTTTCATCATTCAATGTGTGATCTACAATATTCCAATCGCCCAGCAAAATCGCTGTTTTGGGCGCCCAAGACTCTAGTGGTGTCCGTCGCACCAGACAACATAGACACCGCGGCGCTCGCAAAAAACGCGTAATATATGTCGTCAGACGGAATTTCGACAGTTTACGAGGTCAGTTACGGAGCTAAACATGTTTCCGTAACCTGACGCAAGGCTGTGTGATCAGCACGCATTGGATGTTGGTTTCTCCGCGATAAGTCTCATCATGCTGTCATCTTCTCATCTGCAAGCAACATATTTTGTATGGGCACATTTTTTTTCTACGCACCACTCAGATGAATGCAATTCTGTCCTCAATGCTGCCTACCCATAACATCAACTATCCGGTAACCATACATCAAACTAGGTGAAGCTAACTTGTGCTGCTTGCCCAATGATCACAAGAAAATCATGTGCAACAACTTCACACTGTCTTGTACATCATTTCATCACACACTCATTTAATAGTTTTTAATACATATATAGTAAATAGATGAGCTAAAAATATCGCACTTTTACCCCACCGTCATTACAAAATGCAAGGCTTGACGTCCAAGTCCGATGTGATTCGTATGTTGGCTCTGTCTTTCAGACAAGTCAGAGCAAAGAGATGCGACGAACGCGTTTCTCGGCATGCATGTCCACAAAAAAAGAACACTATTTAAAGGCATCAAACAAAACAAGTGTTCAGTAACGTATACTCGTAAGTACCAATAGATAAATCTTCCTAATGTTAAATATGGGCGAAATCGGTCGGTCGTCGCAGAATCGGTCACAATAAATATCAAATAAATATTGTTATGTGGTGTCTGAAGACCCACAAACATAAACTGACGCCATCACGTTGCTCACAATAAGAAATTGATGCGGGGTTCTTCGTCAGTATCAGTACACGTACACTAACAGAGTCTCACTTATCGAAAACCTCCTACCCTCAGTATTGCTGCCACAAGTTCCTCAATATCTCCCTCCAACTGACCAACTAAATTCCCTCATTATGTAGTTATACACCATCAGCTGACCAGCCGACCCGCGGCTCTGGTAACCTACTTTTCGGTCTGAACCGCCAGACCTCTACAACTCGACATCTCGGTCGTTCAGTCCCCGATCTATCTCCAGCCAACCCCCCCCCCCGCCACGCCGTACAGCTCTGTGATGCCAGACGCCGGGGCGGCCACAATGCACGCTCAAGGGACAGACGGGCGGGCGCGGCGGCGACTCACACAGCTCTTTGATATGCATGTGACGGTGGCCACAAACACGGTCCTCCGCGAACGGCTCTTGCCTTATGCCGCTCATGCTACGGAGGGCACAGTAAGTGCACGATCAGCGCAACGCTTGGTCCAGAATAACCGGTCAGTAAGCCGCCCAGTAACCGCCATGACCTCACTGCGGCGGCGGCTCACGGGTGACCTTGACCTGACCGGTGTCACGACTGTGTCCCTGACCCCAGCGCAGCTGTTCACACTTGGCCGTTGTCGGTCGTTTCCGCCTCAGCTGCGTTGTCGTTGTCCATCAGACCACCGCCCTTGTGTAGCGAGGTGTTCTGGCCAGTGTTGGCCAGGTATTTCTCCACCACCTGTCGGTAATACATGGGGTGTGAAGTCACTGAGGAAAAATGTGACGTCATTGGGAAGACGGCCTTGCATGTTACCGATACCCTGTGAACTTCACAGTGTCAAGTCATCATCTTGGGTGTAACTGGCGATTATTTCGTCTTTTTCAGGAGAAGGGGAATGCGATAGGCAAGATCGCCAAAAGCGGCAATGCTGCTCGAAATGTTTTTTATGTTTGTGCTAGTCAAAAATATTGTTTTTTTTAACTCCGTTAAATGCGCTGCTAGAAACACTTTTAGGTTAATTTATTTCAACAGATGGCTGATCAAAGTGATCATGGCAAAACATATTTGACTCGGCTAAGTATTGATTGCATAAACATTAAAGAACGACTAGTCGTATTCTTGAAAAGGTAGAAATGTTTAATGAATCCATTGTACATAAGGCACGAAGCCTAATAACTTGGCGCATTGTTCGGGTGAAGACAACAAATGACTTTTATCGGTTACCCAAATACACAACTATGTAGAGCTGTGCTACAAGCAATAAACCGCAATGCTTTACAACAGATTACAAACATAAAGTGACGACGAACAACACATTTTTTCCCACGTGTAGACTCGATATGTGTATGTACATACAAAGTACACCGATCTCCATTCATGCACCAAAACCACTTTTGAATGCCTGAGCCGCTTTCTGGTATAATATCTAATGAAGTAACGATAAATGTGAAGTTCATATTTATTGTCGTCAAAGAAAGACAACGTTATTTCTTGCAAACCACTTTTGGTTTAGGATGAAATATCCTACAACTAGGAAAAATGCCGTTCTTTTCTTAAAAAAAAAACGATCGCATAAAGCTTCTCAGTAGCTATAACATCATAACCACCACCGCAATAAAGGTTTAATTTTCCATCAATAGACTACTCAAATTATTTCGTTTTCCAACTCATGTTTGTGATTTTTTTCACAAATGCGTCTTTATACTATCACAATATGTCCCGAAAATTTCACTCCCGCAAAGGACTTTGTTAACATTATTAACATATTGCGTTGAAATTCGAGCACACAAGTTTAGATAAAGTTCCTATAAACGCCCCATTTCCTGCCACGACATAGAGGTGCACGGGTGAATAGGTGCATGCACTGTACATACAACCAATAGACAGGACAACAAATCTGCAAAGACTTCACAGACTATAGTCCGACCACAAAGACCTTCACAACACAGAACAAGTATAATTGCATCTATGCTGGTACAGGCCAGAAACCAACGCAAGGGAGCCAGAACCCACCCAATACTGTTAACTGTTGAACATCTCGTATTTTTTCAGCAGGATTTATTGAAGACCGTAAATCAATAAGAAAACCCGGAAAACAGTCAATGAGTGTGTAGAGAACCATGACGAATCGATCCAGCCTCGTCACCAATTTGAATGCTTACTCGTCATAAGTAAAATAAAAAATTGTACTTGATTACGTTCACATATTTTGTTATCGTATCTTTAAGCTTACAATATTTATACAATATGTACAACTTGATGTAACAAACTGCAAACCAGTTGTGTTGAGTAAACTTTTGTGCACTGCATTGAAATCGCCCGCATGTGCGTCTCCGAATGGTGCGACCCGATGACGCCTAAGACCGGACAGGCTAAGTAGCACACCACTACAACCCCAGAGCGCATGCCTGAAACCATATGCCGCATACCATATCATCCGGTAGATTCCGATCATCCAAATACTTTGACACAAGCTAAGGAAACGGAACAAGTTAGTCGAATAGGGTATCTGTATTGAATATCAAATTTCTGCTATATCAAGTGCATTAGTTTAGAAATCAATAAAAAACGTAGTTGAAGACAACACGGGTTCGGCACACACCCTAAAAACGATGCATTGGCAGCGGCTAAAATACTGTAAGAACCCTCCAGGCCCGGGCCTTCGGGCGTCCATAACATTTATGGTCAGTACCGAGATTCAAACAACAAAGACGTTACATAACAAATGAGAGCATAACCAAGCCTAATCCTGCCCATTTTTCTAATGGAGCTAACCACTTTCTGTTACGGTTAGCAATGCCATGTGAATCATTAGCTTCCAACCCCCACATGAATGACACAGGCACCACACAAGCACATCTGTACCCTCATTAGCTATCCTGTACCCCCTCCCCGAGGTTTTACCCACCTTTGGCCAGTCTATAACGTTCTCCAGTCGCCGCGGCCCCGTGATGTTGGACGCGCTGGAAGGCTGCACGCTCAGGTTGGAGTGATTCATGTCTGCAGATGGAGGGGAATTACTCACTTACCGGCGAATTACTCAAACAGTTTAAGTTTTCTGCTATAGAAAAGTTTAAGTCCAGTTTATGTATAAGGAACACGTCAAGAACAATAAAAACAACACGAAATTAGAAAATAAAAATTAAATATTTAATGCTTTGTACAATATGTTACACCACTACAAATGGGAGTTAAAAACGACACGGAAATCGAAAAAGTATTCTCCGAAGATGAAATCAGTAAAAATTTAAGTATGGGATGTTAACTATAGTGTCCTCAGTTCCCGTCACCACACGCATTGCACAGGTTCGATCCTCGTCACGGTACCTATGGCAAAGTCGGCGGTGGAGCGGCGGGCGGTGCGGGCGGTGACTGGTAGCGCTGAAACAGGGCGGGGTGCGGCAGAGCCGCCGGTTGACCTCACCTGACCCGGCAGTAGCGCCTCCCAGGTCACCAGGAGAGGGTGTGTATGACGGTGTGAGAGGGATGGGTGGGCGACTATGTATAGCACGGGGACCTGTGTGTTGTTCGGGCACTAAGAAAACGTGGAGGAAGGTGGTGCGACAAGAAGACATACGAAACTGCACATTTTACAGCCATCTACGCAAATAATCAATCTAAAAAGCCATTATATCCGACGATGATGTACACATTACATAATTAATAATGATTATACTTTATACAAGTCCAGCTGTTTAAGGCACGCTTGCCTATAACCAGTGGCGGCGGATTCGATTTTGGCGTGGGGGGGGCAAGATCCCAGTCGAGATGATGTCATAGGCGGATCCAGAAAGGCGTTTTCGACGCTGTAGGGGACATACCCCCCCAAAAAAAGTGTCCAAAATCCAAAAACTCCTCGGATTTCGATTCCTTACTTTATAATGCTGAACAGTATAAAGCAAAAAAAAATCCTGATAAAAGTGTTATTATTAGGAAACATAAGGTACGTTTTGTCTATTTCGGGCGATGCAGGGGCCAGGGGAGGGGAGTTAATATTTGCTTTAAATGCCCGCTCTCTGGATCCGCCAGTGGACGATGTAACGCTTTTCGTATTGCTGTATTAGAAAAAAGCTCAAACAGGAAAAAATTGTGCCATAACCCGATCGCATATCAGATGTTGAAGAACGGTGCCAAACCTTTTGAAGTAGGCGAGCGCTATTCTTCAATGAGGTAACTCGTTACCGTTTCCTCTGTTCATTTTACGTTCGATTTCCGTTTACCCTTCCATTAAAAAGTATTTCTGAGACAGATATCAACTGAAACTAACTCACAGCGGGAGGAGACCGCTCAAACATTCAGAGACAGTCGGTCACATCTAAACCTATTGGGACAGCGATCCGCCAGATACCCTCCCCAAGGCAGTAGTTCGCCAAATTAGCTCACCGAGACGGGCTGTCTCGATGGGTTTATACAGTAAGCCTACAGCAGGGCTTAACTAAGGCCCAAACGCTCGTCAAGCTGGGAACGGAGGGTGAGGGAGCGCGGCGGCGGGCTGAGGTGAAGGAACGGTGGACTGGAACGAGAATCCAGAAGCTCTGGGTGGGGCGTTTCTTTATTAGGGCTTTAGGGTGTGCTGACTGCGGTAAGGTCCAAATTATCACACCAAATTTTGCCACGACATCTACCGGTTCAGGCACTCGAGAATCAGTGGTCAGTGATATCTGCAAAGACGAAGCATTTCCAACCCAGCTTCAGCATGGTGTCAGGGCGCCTCAGGTGGCTTTAATTACAGTTGCACATACCAAACGACCTCAGTGCAGCCAGTCTGTGGCCGAAACCATTCGGAACAGACTTCAACGAAAAGTGAAACAAGGTTAGTGCTATCGTTAAGTGCCATTATCGACTTGGGCCCCGTTGGCTTGACCCACTGGAAGGTGGTAGTTATCGGACGCTGCGGGGCATACTCATTTTCCCCAAATGTCTTATAATTTGCTTTCGTGTTCATAGGCGGCGGAACGGGGAGGGCACCGGGGCACCGTGCCCCCTTTGATTTTGGCATTTTAACGTTAGCCCTATGGGCGTTGCATGGAAAGAATTGGACCAAAAGTCGGCAGTGCCCCCCCCTTAGTTGAAGGTGTTCCGCCGCTACTGTTCGTGTTTGATGCTCTTCATTCTATGTATAGCCAGCCTTTAGACAGAGGGGGGCCCACTAATGATCAGTGCCCTAACCCTCAAGAGTTTCCATCATTAATTTTTACTTTTTTAATAGTGAAACTGAAATAAAGCGGATACTGAACTGTGAACATCCAGTTTTTACACTGGCCCCACACAAGCCTCCGAATGTAGATCTCTGATGACTGGCCTTTGGGTGTCATACCATACCGTGCATTGGTCAATGTGGTCAATGTGTACGACCTTGGCGTTTACCATTTTATGCGCTGGAAACTGTTCCGCTTGAAAAAAAATCAGGGGAGTGGCTTATTATGAGCGCTCATCAGTCCTACTCCTAACTACCCGCAAGCGAATGTCTAGCCCTTCCGTCTCCGCTCGCTTGCGATTTGGCATTTATGTAGGTACAAAATAGCGGCAAACGACCACTGAAGGTATGAGTTGCGTCTCTTGCACACTTAAAATATCTCTAAATCGAATCTAAAAAGACAAAAAATGATATAAAGCGGAAATGGTTAGCATTTACACATATTCAAAAGGCACCGTTGAACAAACTGTAGGAGCGCATAGCTGCAATATCAGGTTATGGAAATTTTCCTCATGTTTAGGGCACAAATTATGGAGGGGCAAGAATATACGTTTGCCCCTCCTCCAAGAGTTTCTTAGGGGACGATGCCTCCTCTGCCACCCCTCATCCGTCGCTCCTGTAAGCGGTCACTGAAGGGGGTTGCCGCTACGTCACGTTGACGCTTACAATGCCTCCAAAACTAGGTTGAAGAGAGGAAAACTTCAATTGAACGCGAACGCTTGCCATTTAAAAAGCCAACGTATGATAAAGTATATGGGCATCTGGTTACATCTTCAGATGGTCGAACAGAATCATCAGGTATATGGTTTCTTGTCTAAGCTTTGTCACAAATTATGGGGGGGCATAAAGATACTTTTGCCCCCCCACGATTTTGCCAGGGGGGGCAGCTGCCCCCCCTGCCCCCCCGAATCCGCCGCCCCTGCCTATAACTAGTTACAAAATGCACTGCTCAATGCACCAAAGAGAATGGCGAACATTAAAATGTACCAAAATGCATGCCATCTGTATAATAAAATCGAATTTCTGACCAACATCGAATGTTGTAGAGCACCAACTAACGATTTTACTACGGACGAATCACAACTATATACGTGAGTATAAATAAATAATATACAAACGCATGTTAACAGTGTTTTAAAGACGCACTATACGCTAAATATGCATGCTTTGAAAATGCGATGACAACAATTGTATATTCATATGCGGATGAAGGACTCGAGCTTTCATCTAAACACGCACTTCGGTTTTCAAACTTTGTACATTTTCCACCGCTGACCTCACACTCCTAACTTACCGAGCCCGGGCCCGACCGACTTTTTGCGCATCTTGCCCATCCAGTTGCCTCCCACGTTGGTCGTCATGTCCAGTTTCTTCTCGTCCTTGGGCAGTCGCTCTGTCTTCATATACTCGAGGGCGCGCGGGTCACACAGGCGACCTGCACGACAGACGAGGACAGCGCAGATAGAGCACAAACACACACAACAAAGTATGTAATTTGGACTTGAGCGTGATTCATTTGATGGAAAAATAACGCCATAGCCGATCAAAGTGAGTCGACACCTAAAACCGTAGTCATATGTAAAGGACACAAAACACGCTCCCGAATGGAAGAAATGTGCTGAGTGCTCGTCGTGAGTACGTAAGCCTATACAATTCTGCACCTTTGAATTTGATGAAGGCGTGTATGTAGATGAACAGTTTGGTGAACAGGTTCAGCGGTGCCGGCGCCGACGACGTCCTGTTGGTATTCCGGATCAGCTTCGCCAGGCCAAACTTCCACTCGGTATCCGATTTCGACTGAAAAATGAGAGCATTTTAGGTCATAAGTGCGTTGTTACGTAAGTTATGTTAGATACATTCGCCACTGCTTTCCGAAATCAGCCTTATAAGTGGCATTAATTGCAAACCAGTGCTCGCCTCATCCTGCCTTTGACTGTCCCGCCGACTGACCTGAATCCTCTGGTAGGTATCGGACATCATAGCAATCAGCAGGTTGATGAGCACCACCACGGCCACGATCATGTACGAGCCGAACACGAACTTGATGAGCGTCTGCGACCAGGCCGGGTGAGAGTTGAGCGGCGGCAGGTAGTCGTAGGTGTCCACCAGGCCGAAGATGGAGAAGAACATCATCTCCAGCGTCTGCAGCGGAGTCTGCACCGGAGCCTCTGTGTACGGATGGGGAAAGAACGGGAGAGAGGTCAGTGACGCGGCGATGCAGGGAACGATCTTGCTGATGAAAATGGTCATGGACTGCATGAATCGGTTGATAAGCATTGATTTATATTTCATTATGTTTTTAATAAAAAATACAAGCTTTTAAGTTCATCACGATCATCTCTCGGTGTGATTTCAAACGTTACGTCATCGGAGTCGTACTTTTTTGATAGTGTGTTTCTGTAAAACAATACAGATGATGGGCCAACATTAGTAAGGACAGTACCGCATGCTGAGGAAGTGCACAAAAGCGGATACCCATTAATTGAACGGTATTATTCCGGACGAGAAACCTTTCATAAATCGACTAGACTTTTGGAATGAAAAGAGCACCTCAGTGAACAACCCATAATGAACACCGGATAGAAAGCATCGCTCTAACATTCAAACGCCCCGGTTCAATGCAGTAAGGTGTATTGATACCGGCATAAAAATCCAGCATGGAATGGATATACCGACGAACAAGAACGGACAATTATGGAGAACGGACGGTTACATGAAAGATTGAAAGACGAGCGAACGAACGGACCAATAGTTTTCTGTCACATTGTCTCAGAGCGCAAAGAAAGGCTCTGAAAACAACGCTAGCAAGACAATAAGAACAGGTTAAGTAAGCAAGTTAAGATTGCACGGCCTGGTTACCTGGATCACCACTCCAGTACTCTCCTCTGTCTGCAATGAGCGCGCATTTAAGGGAAGAAAGCCCCTACTACACAACAGCAATGGCAGACAAGACATGGATACAATGCGACATTCATTTCCAAAGTACTTTTATATCGTATAATATACTTTGACACGCCTGTTCCATTGTGGTCTAAAATTTGCCTAAAACAACACCGTCATTACAGTTTAATCTCCCCGCTCTCATTGCTACAAGCTCCACTCCAATAGGGGAAAATGACTAGGCCGGATTATCGTATACTGCTGTAGGTTGTATTGGGAGATATGCCACTCAGGTAACTGAACTGAGTCTCCCCTCGGACGTACCGTTCGGTGGGTAGCCCAGTCCGGAGTCGGTGCCGTTCGTGAACATGGGTCGCACTGGCTGGTAGATGGCCGCCACATGCAGCGTGAAACCCAGCACGAAAATGGACATGATCACCAGGAACCTGAGCGGAGCAAAGCAAGCACAGACACGGTAAGAGACAGACTGCAGGTGGGAACGGCCTTGGAAAAAAGTTTGAGGCCAGTTGATATACAGAAAGGAGGCCTAATGCATCAAGACCTGACTGACTAGGCATGCCCTATACCCTCAGAGTGAGCAGCTAGAGTGGTCTCCTCAAACAGACCTGTCATCGTGTGGCCCACCCGGGTACCAAGGTGTGACCCTTCACGACTGACCTGCGCGGAGTGGTCTTCCCGTAACTGACCTGCCGAGATCGACCATCAGCGCTCGAATGATGACCGTCCACGGACCGAAGAGCCGATGGAAGGTGAGGAAGTCGAGCAGCTGGACGCAGGCGAATAACATGGCCACGGCCAGCAGCTGGTTCCGTATGTAGCTGACGGTGACGTAGAACAGGTCAGAAAGGCAAAGCCGATAACGAATAGGATTACATGACGTGGGGCATCAACGGACACGAGGCAGCTAATAGGAAACAAATAACTGTGCACAGAGTAGGACAGATGAATTGTATGTTCATTATCGTAAATGTTTTATCCACAGTGCAACATTCAACTACTTCAGCAGGGTAGAAATGACCACCACGAAGTGCATTAATGATCCTCATTATTTCCATGAATTCAAATTACACCCCACGACTCTATCCCCCTCTTATTTTCTCAGACTTTCACGCCTTCCCTCATCGTCCATAACTCACAGCACATCTTGTCGATCATGTTCGGAGCTGAAGGCGAATCCCACCAGATGCACTCCTAGCGCCAGGCCGCCGGTGATTAAGCTGACTATCCTCAGCATCCCCAGTCCGGCTCGGTCGCGCGGATTGGTCAGCTCCGACAGCAGCATGCCCGACAGCCAGGTGAACACCATCCACTCGGGCACGTGCGGCACCAGGCTGGTGCTCAGCCAGATGGGCCACAGCGGCGTCACCACCGTCAGGATCAGCAGCACAATGAAGAAGATGTGGGAGGCCAGGTGGGAGGTGAACTTGATGACGGGCACCTTGCAGTACTTGTGGCCAATCGGCAGGGAGAAAAACACCCAGACTGGCGGGCAGGCCAGGAACGCGAAGAAGAGGCCGATGGTCTTCCAGTTGGGCCAGTCGAGGTGGCCTCGCCACACCTCGGTCAGGTAGCGCTGCACGGCCGGGTGGGCGATCACCTGCACACACAGAGAGGCATATCAGAGGCAAAAGGCGATTCACCCCTGTTCCTACAACCGCTCCTTTTGTAACCCTCCACATGGCTCGTCACTTATCCCAGCTGCCTCCCAGTCCCTCTGCGTCCCCCTCCTCACCTCCTTCTGTTCCAGCTCGATGAGGATGTCGAGGAACTCGTTCTGCTGATAATCGAGCGCCCGCAGCAGGATTCCCGCAGACTTGGAGCCGGCTGCCAGCGACAGGATCTCTGTCGCCATCACCTCGCAGTAGTGGGACGCCGCCAGCAGGTCCTTGGTCTTCTCTTTCTCCTGCGGGAGGACATGGGGAGGGAAGTGTCACGATTCAGGCCAAGATTCAGACTAATGAAAGCATCCTATAAAAAGTGCGTCATCTAGGTAGACATAAGCAAGGACATCAGCAATAGGTTCCTCAAAAGACAAGATGAATTTGTCAATAGCGATGCAAACGACTCATACGGCGCAGAAGACGAATGGCAGCCATACCTTTATGGAGAGATGGTAGAGAATGTAGGACAGTTTCGATGCCACGTCAACTGGCGCAGGGGAGAGCAGGATGAAGTCCTGAAGAGGCTTGTTGTCGTACTTTTTGCTCACCATGGTCAGGTCACTGACAAACTGAAAAGACAGATCTCGGACATGTCACAGATCAACTAATATGACACAACCACTATCTGCGTGAAGTTCAGCAAATCGTATGATTTAAGCTTTTCTAACAGCTCTGCGAAACACCCTAGATACTCGGAACTTGCCTTCTTGTCGCTCAGCAGAGCATACGAATCGTGATCTTTTCTCAGCAGGTACTCGATCACATCAAAGTGCTCGTTGCTGACCGCGAAGCAGATGGCCGTCTTGGCGTTGGTCGTCTCGAACTTGGGAGATGCGCCGCTCTCGATCAGTTGTTTGACCACGTCCAGGTGGCCGTTCTTGCTGCTGTAGTGAAGCGCTGTCAGACCGTCCTGCGGATGAGTCGGACGAGGGAGTGTCACAGCCTCTCACGCCGCACGGCATTAGCAGCGTTCCCGACTCCTGTCCCGGCTATATCCCTAACCGACCGATCACCTCAGCTGCCCCGGGGACTGGCTGTCCCTGCCCCCGGCAACTGACCCCAGACCCTGACCCTGCCACGGATCACCGACTGACCCTGTCTGCCGCGTTGATGTCGGCTCCCTGGCCGAGCAGCTGTGACACCATGGCCAGGTGTCCGTTCATGGAGGCGATGTGGAGACCGGTGCGGCCGCGCCGGTCCTTGCAGTGCAGCTGGTCGGTGGAGCGGCTGAGCAGCAGGCCAGCCACGGCCGTGTGACCGCCCACACACGCCAGGTGCAGAGGGATGTACGCCTGGTCGGTCAGAGAGACGCGGTTAGGTAAGCTGGGCAAGGGGAGAAGCGGAGGTCAGCAGAACAAACTCATAGCTCACCAACGCTATTTTCCTATCAGCACTTGGATTAGCACATGTCACCCCTGTCTCGGCCTCGGCTCTCAGCATCGCTGCTATACCTCCTAAGCACTCCAACTCACGTTGAGGTTTGTGGTGGCGTCCACCTGAACGCCAGGCGAGTTCATCAGCAGGCGCACGATGTTCTCTTTGCCGCTGTAAGCGGCCATGTGCAGCGGGGTCAGGCCGGACTCGGAGCCCAGCTCGCGGATGAACGAGGAGGTGGCCGCAGTCGGTGTCTCCGACTTCAGCGTGGCAGGGACGTGCTGGAGCAGCTCTCGGACGATGTCTGTTCAGGGGAGGGGGGCAGATGCTTGATCACTGTCGGTCGACACTTGACAAGTCTGGGTAGGATGCCGATTCGGTGAAAGATGCCACAGATAATCGGTTCCTGAACCTCCCTGAACCTATCCCTTCTTCCTTCCATCATTATTTTCCCCATCCCTTCCCTCCCCTCTTCCCTCCTCTCTGCCACCTTACGTACCAGCCTCGCCATAGAAGGCAGCCACGTGCAGCGCGCTGAGACCGTTCTTGCGGCTGGTGATGCGCATTGACGAGTGCTGGGAGCGCAGCTGGGCGAGCACGCCGTTGTGACCGGCCCGCGCCGCCAGATGCACCGGTGTGAATCCGTACTGGACAACAGAGGGATACAGGTGGAGAGTGAGCACACCTTACGAATATCGATGACCAGGAGAAGGCTAGAATGTGACTAAGTACGGAGAAAAGCCGAATAAGTGGTTCTATTGACCGAGCTAAGCGATAAACAGTTCGTCATGGACTTGGGAAGAACAATTAAAAACCTAGCAATATTGTGACACCGCATTCTCCGCCCCATCCTTATTCTTTTCAGCACCTCTCCGTGTCCCGCTCGTCCGTACCCTGGTCCCATCGACCTCTCCTCTCCCCGCTCGTCGTCCGTACCCTGGTCTCCTCTGTGGGGCTGGCGCCGGCCTCGATCAGCACCCGCACGACCTCAGCGTGTCCGCCCTCTGCCGCCATGTGCAGCGGCGTCGACTCGGACGTCTTGTTGTGGCACGACGTCACCATCTGCTTGTTGAACTTCATCAGCTCCCGGATGACATCCACGGAGCCCTTCATGGCGGCGATGTGGGCGCACGTGTTGCCGTCCTGGACACAGAGTAAAGGAAAGACTCACTGGTCGGCATGGACAATTTCTAATCATAGAGAGCACTCGAATTTTACCTGACTAAGCGACCGTCGGCTAGTCTTTCGTCCCTGTATCATAACATCTGACTCAAGGACCTCGGCACAGAGGTGCCTGACGACCTGTTCATCTTTCGTAGCTGAAAACATGATGCCATCTTTCCCTCCCAGCTCCTGAGGCACTTTGCTCACCCGGTCGGCGGTGGTGACGAGCTCCGGGAAGTGTTTGAGGAACAGCTTCACCACCTCGGAGTGGTTGTTCTGCGCCGCCAGGTGGATCGGCTTCTGGCCGCTGTCGTTGGTCGCGTTGGCGTCGCTACGGATCTGGATCAGCGCGCTGCACACCTCTATCTGACCGGCCTCAGCGGCCAAGTGGAGGGGCGTGTTCTTCGTCTGTGGGAAGGTGAGAGGGGGGTTAGCGTCCTAGATCGCTGAGAATGGTAAGCATTTGCATATAGCGGTTTACAAAAGGTTGGTACAAAAAGTACGGACCAAGTTTTGTTGAGCGTTTTTATTGGAATTCGTCATTTATACGAGATCACGGATCGTTTGAAGTCATGCAGAGCGCATTAGTGAGCACGGTGCAACTGGTGCGATAGCGAGATCTTAGTAAGCATGGAACTGCCGCCGGGTTCTACCATCCCACCACGTCCCCACCATCCTCACCAGCGTGTTGACGTCAACAGCGGCGTTGTGTTTCTGAATGAGTGTCTGCACGAGCTCCTTGTAGCCGCGCATGGCAGCCAGGTGCAGAGCCGTCAGGCCGATCTTTGAGCGCGAGTTGACGAAGGCCTTGTGCGCCAGGAGGGCGTTACAGACCTCCAAGTGGCCCTGCTCAGCGGCTAAATGGAGCGCTGCCTTACCGTCGCTGTCGAATACGTCCACTCTGTCGGAATGGGGAGATAAGACGTCAGAGAAAAGTCGTGTCGGAGACGTTTAGAGTGGTGGGGCGAAAAGCAGAAGAGGAAAGGCGTGGTAATAGCGAAACTGTTCGGAGAGCATTATGAGGAGACGATTCGACTCGACAATCACGACAATATTGAATATGAGCGAGTTGACAGCACGGCTATAAGGGAGTGATCATCAAGAACCGTGTTGAGGGATTGAAATTTGAATAAGCAATAACATATAAGTGCAGAAGTCACATTCGTTTACAAGGCACTTGCTAAAGAGACTATCGCACTTTATTACCAGACTCTGGGGTCGTCTAACATCAAACGCCCGTGTTGTGCTTACACTTATCGCTGGGGCCATGGGAAACGTTAGCTCAGCCTCACCGGACGTTGTGCTGGAGCAGGTTTTTGGTGACCTCGAGATGGCCCTGCTGAGAGGCTACCATCAGGCAGGACGCGCCACCGCTGTTTTGACGGTTCAACACTACTTGGACGTTCGGTACCTGAAATAATAAGACGCTCAATAATCAAGACACAAGACATCGTTTGGGCGCCCTGACGGTGTTGTGACAGCTATTTGTGCATCAAAAAGGTAAACTATCCAGCTCCAAATTACTAGCCAGTCGTACATATTTAATTCCATGGTGTAGGCTGCATTATGCTGCCAGCCATGGGCATTTCTATCGAGAATTAGCAATTTGAATAATTCAGTTTTAAATACTTCTCTTTTCATTAGTGATTATTCACAGTGTCTTTGATAATGCAGCACATGTCGCCCTCACCTCATCCTTGAGGTGAATCAGCATCTGTTCCAGAATAGCATTATTTCCGTGCCGAGCTACGTAATGAAACGGTGTCTCCTTGGCCTGCAAAAGGGCATCCGGTCAGTCGGCTGGTTTGATGGGGTGTCAGAGGGCTACAGAACAGCTCACTTTAAGGTACAGCACGTCATTTTTTTCTCCACATGTGTTACCATACGTCTGGGCATCGTTTCATAAAGCGAGTCCGTAACTTACGCCGGTTTTTGGACTTGTATTGCAAGCGCATGTGAAGCGATAACAATTTATTTTCCCTTCTCCCTTCTGTTCTTGCTTGCAAGATAAATAAATTCAACGGTTCAAACTATCGTCATCGCTTCACATGCGCTTGCAATACAATACCAAAAAACCGCCGTAAGTTACGGACTCGCTTTATGAAACGAGGCCCTGCTGGTTGGTTCCACGACAGCATGACATATATTTTCCATACACAACAGCCGTTGCTCAGATAATGGAAGATACGAATTCGATCAATATTGTAACGTGACACTTTTTCAGCGTGAAATAAGTCATTCTATAATTATTTCGTGAAGTCTGGTTGACCACGAACGTCGATTTTTTTTATTGGCATGCAAACGATCGAAATATGTGTGAATATTTTGCATGTCGGCGGGTGTAATTCCAGGTGGACTTGTCATGTATGTGCGACATTTCGTTTGTCGTGGATTAGCTCGCATTTACAGGCTTTAAATATGAGCGACGACCCAATTCATGGCAATTGGTTCCTGATTCTTCTCAGCTGCTACCGACCATTATCCCATTTCAAATAACTGTATTTGGAATGACAAATAATTCACTACCTTCCCCAATCAGAAAGGAACTTGCTGCGAAGCAATGCAGTAATTCAAAATGAAAATAATATATCTGCAATAAACAAAGAAAATGCGCAAATCCCAACACCTTAAAAGATAACATTAATGGCTGTTTTATTTATAACTTAAAACGGAAATTGTCTCTCTTTGGATAAACATAACAATAAGCCAACTGATCGAACGATTGAAGAACATGCATTTTCTTTTATTTTTAACGCTCATTTGATTGATAATATGTTACAAAAATGTTAACAATTTATCCAAGATTAACTATCAATGATGAAGGAATAACTTCTTTCTTTTCCATCCTATTCTTTCTTTTTTGTTAAATTTCATGCAATGCCGTGAAACTATGCGAAAATCGCTATTTACTCTTGTACAACATTCTCCAGTTAGCCAAGTAGTGCAATGTCTGGCTACGCCGTCTGCGTGATCAAGTGCTATCGAAGCACTTGCCAATTCCAGAGACGTTGACATTGGCTCGGCGGGCGGTGGCGCCGGTTTGACACTGGCTCCGCTCTGTTTGACACTGGTGCCGCCTGGTTTGACACTGGCGCCGCCCACTTTGGAGAGGGCGGTGGGGCGAGGGGCGGCCGGGACCGGCACTTTGACGGGGGCCCGCTGACCGGCCATCTGGGCAGCCAACTGAGCGGCCACCGCCGCCGCCGCCTCAGACGTGACCTGACGCTTGACCTGGGCGGCTGTCGCCGTGGACGTGGTGGCCGTCTACCGGCGGGCGGCTCCGGTCAGCTGCGGCTCTACCTACACATGGCCGGTCATGGAACTGGTAAAATGACATCTTCTTGAAGCTGGTTATGATAGCAGAAAACCATCAAGCACAGTTAGAGACGTATAAAAGTACTGGTATTTATAAAGCTAAATCAATGTAGTACAATTGCCGTTTCTCATCCCGAGATGCAGAAGACAAAACACTGTATTTCAAACTCTCCCAGCACACAGTTAACACGCGCACTGCAGCGGGTCTGAGCCGAACACGAAATGCAGGGGGGGGGGGGGGGTTGAAAACAACCCCCCTGAGATCTCGAAAACGGCGCAACGTAGCGACAAGCGGTAAACGGCGTTGGATAGGTCGGGATGTTATCTAGAGGAAATACTAAGGTCATTTTTGTCCTAGGTCAAAAACGAGGTCACCAGAGGTCACCGAAGACACAATGTTACGATTTTCACAACGGGAATTTCGCGGTAGTTTTTCTTGAATAACTCGTTACACAGAAGAGATAGAGAGTTGATTCGAACGCCATCGTTCTTAGCTCGTCAAGGCGCATCGAATGATATATAATATGACCTCGAAAGGTCAAGTTGAAAATTTGACCTCAGGTCAAGGTCATGACCTGACCGAAATAGGTCATGTTGCATATCATTCGATCCGCATTGACGAGACAAACACGATAAACGTCGAACGGAGTCTCTATCTCTATTCAATCTCAAGTTATTGAAGAAAAACCGTTGGTGACCTCAGGTGACCTCAGATGACCTGGAGGTCACCTTCCAAAGGTCACAAGTGATATGTTTCGGCGAAATCACCAACAGGGACCTGTAATACTATGATCCTGAGCATATTGAAGTCATAGGATGGCATTCAGAGTAAGTTGAAATTTCTCCCATTGACTTATAATGGGCCGGTCGCAAAAATGACCTGACCTTAGGTCATCGATATAAAAATTCCGAGATATACAAATTGTAGCTCGTGATGCCCTTACTACTTCCTGCGGGTTTCAAGATCCTATCTCAACAACTGTGGGCTTGGTGGGATTGCAAACTTCGAAATTTACGTTCTGAGGTAGGGTCACTTGACCTGACCTGGTGACCTGACCATAGGTCACCTGGGGTCAAAATTTTCACTCAAGGTGCGCAACAGTTGGGAGAACAGGTATGCAAAATTTGGCGGCGCTGCGCGCCGCCGTTTTCTTGCGATCTGCGAAAAACCACAGGGGGGGGGGGGGTTGAAAACAACCCCCCCCCTGCAGTGCGCGTGTTAAATTTGAAAATCCCCAACCACAGCCTCCTTCCTCCCACACATCCATCCTTGCTCACCTTTGTGGTGAGCAGGTCCAGCGACCCGCCATTGACGCAGAGCAGTTTGATGATGTCCTTGTCCTCCTGCGGGTAGTGCAGCCTGTCTCGGGTGACCCTGCTGGCGTAGTGGACGGCCGTCTCACCCAGCTCGTTGCGGATGTTCATCAGCCTCTTGAGTCGCGCCGCGCCCTCGGATTCCGAGCTGGACTGCTTGGCGACAAAGTCTCGCAGCAGACTGATCACCTGGTAGTTGCTATTCTGGCAGGCCAGATGCAGCGGGTTCTCGCCGTTCTGTTGGTGCAGGTCGGAGAGGGAAGACGGTATATTGGCGTGGTACCGATTATGGGTTAGGATTAGACGAGCCTCACCTTCGAAAACTATTAGACTATTCAGATTTAAGGCAAGCAAAAACTGAAAAAAATGTAAGATGATGAGGGTAGAACCAGATTCAAAGCAAAAAAAAAAAAAGACGGTTTAATGTTGACGTTAAGGAAATTTAAACATTAGAAGTGGGAAGTGAAATGATTTCATCTGTTCACCCATAGATGATCGGTTACTTTCAAGTCATAGCACCCACGCAATGCCGACCCCGCACTCAGTTAAAGAGCTCTTAGCCACTGTTCGTTTCCCTTGCTTCTCTCACGTTGGACTGTGCCATGGGGTCGGCTCCGTCCTCCAGCAGCAGCTGACAGGTCTTCAGGTGACCACACTGGGCCGCCACGTGCAGAGGTGTTTGACCTGACGGGTCAGACTCGGTTAACGGTGATTTCTCGGTCAGTTTGGAATTGGTCTAAACATGTTATTTACATGTCTTTGCATAACCGTTTACTGGACGTTTTGCATTTACTCGACATCAATATCTAGACGCCTAGATATTTCAGCGGTTTTGTTGTTGTAGAAAATGACTATCGCACTATTTAAACGTGCCCCATCCTATAAAATGTGGCTTTGTAATGACACCGGACGTATTTCGCACCGTTCTCCATGGTGAGCTGGACGCTGGCGCCCGACTTCAGCAGCATCTCGGCACACTTGTCTCCGTCCTGAACCCTGGCAGCGATGTGGAGCGGCGTCTCCCGCAGCGCTCCGCCTGACGAACGGAGACAACATATTAGATATAACAGACAGACGCGTTTCTTTTATTGACTCGGACCGCTAATCAGAGATAGTTACCGAGAGCAGCTAAATGCACAATGCACATAAAACTACAAGCGAATATCCATCATCAGCCTCATATCCGTTTGTCACTGCACATTTACATTTCATATATGAATGAGATACCGATCATTAAATATTCCTCCATAAACCTCTATGCTGCTCTTTAGACGGACAGTATCACGACAGGTACTGAAACAAGTAACATTTCGCATTCCTCACATCAGACCCCATCAGACCCATGAAAGTCACAGTATAACACGAAAATCACAGCGGCCGGGAACGGTGAATAAAGGCCAGTAGCCCCGCGGGGAGATGTCAAAAAGCGCATCACACGCAAATATAGTGTTCAGATGCACTTTCATTTCGGGCGAGGCTGATTAAATGCGACCCGCGTCATGGTCTTTCGGTATGAATTCTTGTTCACTGATGAAAATGTCATGGGATTACATCTCGTGACGCAAATAAACCGCGCCCAACATTCCATAAAGATGATCAAATGGAATGAAGACACGCGATTGAGCGAATGCCGCTAGCTAATGATTATGATTTACACAATGTAAAAATATACAGTCTTTCTCCTGTAAAATATTTTGCAAGTTGAAAAAAGCCATAATGAACTTCCAGCAACCTTATTATCCCTCTTAACAGCAATCCGATGTTCGAATCTTTAGAAATCGAACAACTGAAGTGCTCACGCCTCACGGTGATCGTATATTCAACCCCAAACTTGAGCTCCACGACCCAGAAGCCTCACTCTCCACCACTCTGTTCCAGACATTTCAGTGTTACCCTTGTGATCGCTGTCTCTCTGTGACCTTGCTTCTGATCTCCACCTGAGCTCCATGGCGGAGCAGCGTCTCTGACCTCCCACTGTGACCCCTTTGACCCCTGTCCTTACCTCTGATCTCCACCTGAGCTCCATGACCCAGCAGCGTCTCCACCACGGCGGCTTTCCCCGCCTGCACGGCCAGATGTAGGGCTGTGTAGTTGTCCTGCAATAACAGAGACTGTCAGTGCCAGAACAAGATCTAAGATTTTATCGGGAATTATCCTGACTTGTGCAGGAAAACGTCAAAATTTTGACCCAAGTTGTTGTTGTTGAACTTCTTTTTAATGAAGAATGAACTAACGTCTCGCATTCAGATTTTCCATATACCTATGAAAGCAGGAACACACAACACAAACGTACCCTTGTGGCGACATCGACGCTCTCTCCCTTCTGTATGAGCGCGTTGATGACTCCCGCGTGACCGGTCAGGGCGGCCGTGTGGATGGCGCGGGCACCCGCCTGAAAGGACACCGTCCATGAGTGAGACAGAACATGGGGAAAATCGTGGCCGGATCAGATAGGCTGAATGCTATATCACCGTCTACATATGAATTCTTAGGAATTATGTAAAGATTAGAATTGCATGTCAATTATCAATACCTAAATGAAAAGAAAACTTTTTTGAACAAAATATGAAGCTTTAATTCAAATAAGTAGGTAAGCTAAAAACTTCCTAAATGAACATTTCCATTCACGGAACAGGAAATCAACACCACCGGATCTCTAAAATTTCACCATTCACCCCACTGTAACAACCCGTGCCACTCGCCTTGTTGGGCATATGCAGCGGCACGCCCTTCCTGAGGAAGGCCATGACGGCCTCCGGGTGGCCGTTGAGGGAGGCGATGTGCATCAGGGTGCTGCCGTCCTTGGTCCTGTCCATGACGGACGCCTTGAACTTGTCGGCAAGGATCTCCACCACCAGGGCGTGGCCGCGCTCGGCGGCAATGTGTAGCGGCGTGCGGTCTGGGGGAGGGACGGGGGTGGTAGGTGTGGGCTGGGAAGCGAACAACAGAACTCGCGTAGTTTCACACTCTGGCTACGACAAAGTGGGAGACGTCAAGAATGTCCGTACACACCAACTCCCGAAGAGGCTGGGTCAAAGAAAATATGCGCCCTAACCCAATAACAAAGGGAGAAAGGTTGGAACTTGGAAGAAGGGACAGAGAAGGGCAGAATTGAGAATGAGACAATGGCGACGATTGTAACCTGAGATAGAGGCGATTAATACTCAAAATGAAGTGGATTGTTTTTTCACGCCGGTGCGTTGAGCCGTTTCCGCGTTAGCGGGTACTGTCTGTAGCGGATCGCGAGCTCATGACACCATGTGACAGGTCACGATGGAACTGCAGCTTACAAGCGCTGGTAAAGACGTGCGTTTGTAAAGTCACGTGTGCGATTATCCTCCGAAGAATTCCTGACAAAAGGCGACTTCAAAAGGGATCAGTCAACAGCCATGCTAGCGACAAGCATTAAATTGAACGCAGTGGTAGCGGTACACACACTGGTAGAGCATGACTAAATCTTACGCTCAAGCAATGTCAGATACACGGCTGGACTACTTCTGGGCCAACCCGGATCTTTTCATAGTCATCCCTTTGGCACACAAATTAGGCAAAACGGCTTGTTTTGAGGCTCTCGAGCCTTTTCCGCTTGATGCTATATCACAATAAAATGATATTCACCGTGCAAACTGAAAGCGACACTGCTTCTTGCACGCACACAGCTAAATCACATCCCAGCAGAGCAATGCATTGCTCTCCTGCCGACAACCGAGATGATATCCCGGAGGGGGGGGGGCAGTCTGGCGACGTTTCGGAGGGTGGCCGGACCCGGACCTCAGTCCCGAGGGTGGCATCGGATGCAGCCTGGAGGATGTCCGGAGGGTCGTCAGGGTTCAGTCCGGAGGAAAGACACAGTTACGAGTATGTCTGGAGGGTTATCAGATAACAGTCCGGACTCGGAGGGTCGCCGGGGTAACCCGGGCTGCAGTCCTGAGGGTCGCTGGTCCGGTGCCCGGTGGGTAGCCAGGGCTGCAGCCCGGAAGGTAGCCAGGGCTGCAGCCCGGAAGGTAGCCATGACTGCAGTCCGGAAGGCGGCCGGGGCTGCAGCCCCGCGTCGTTAGCGTGCAGGGTGGAGATTTAGAGCGCCCGGCAGACGCTGATCCCCCGGCGGTGGATTTTCCGGTCACGGCAGACGTCACACGGCACAGCAGGCGCCGTTCATTGGCCTCACACCGGACATGAATAATGAAGTGCAAACGCTACTAATGGTGCTGCAATGTCAGAAAGATTGCGTTTTGGGCGTGTTGAGTGAAAAGTGCAAAATAATTGAACGTTTATTCACTGATACCAGTTAACTATTGAAGACAAACGTGCGGCAAAAGTTGTTTTGCAACAGCCTAACATAATGAATTTCACTTTTCAAGTAAGTAATACTCATCGCGCAGAATTCTTCTGAAATAACAAAACGTCGCGGACATTTAAACACGGGCAACTCTAGCAGGTTCTCTTTTGAAAAGTACCCGTTAACTGATGAGTGATGACAGACGTCTAGCATAGCAGTAGCAGCCGCCTGCCCTTCCCGTCCCCGACCATCACTTCCGGTCCTCCTCCCCCCCCCCACATGTCAGGTGTGTTTGCGTCCTCCGGTGCGGCCGACAGCACGGGTCAGTGGCGTGTGACGTCGACAGGCGCGGCGGCACGAGCTGTCCCTCTCCTCTATCTCACAGCGCTCACTGCTAACACCCATCGCCGTGGCACATCAAATGACTTTCATGAATAAGTGTATTATGCCCCTAGAGACTTGTATGATAGTACCTACTTTAAGATTTTTCAGCTCTGAACTTTTGCAAAGCAGCGCCACTGCCTATGTTGATTTTATTTTGTTTTCTTTTTTATTTGAATATTTAATCTGTAATGCATTAGTGAGCTGCTGATTCAATGCTCTAAAAACCTACACGGACATAGTCAGCGGTCAACTGTTGAAGCTCACGCGACACTTTCCCCGCCGGCATACCGATAAAACAGGTCGTCAATGCCCGACCCTGAGCCAAACGTGTCGATGTGCGTGTCCGCGCCCCCGTGGCCCGTTGTCGGCTCATTCATAATTCCTCCCTGGTGCAGGCGCAGGGCCGCACACAGAAATCACAGGTCGTCATCGCACCGGGCAAGCGACACAAACGGTGCTTTCAGCGTGATGAGTCTGCCCTGGTGCGCCGGTGGAGCGCCGCAGCCAACAGACGGCGTGGCTCGGCGCGGCAGGCGAGTTCGGATTCGGTCGGGGTCGACCGCTCCCGTTTCCAGTGGGAGCATTAGCTACACGTCATATAGGACTGCGCAGTGCGCAGTGAGTAGCCGACCTGCACCCCTGCCCCCTTGTCGGCAGAGTCCACTAAACACGCCGGGGGCACGAACGCGGACAAAAAAGGCTGTTGGTGGTGAAAGACAGCAGTAGCGCTGGCACGGCGCAGGAAGGTGCCGACGTTGGTCGGTCAGAACGTCTCAGCTGTTACCGATTATTTCAATGATAACGAAAAATAAGTTCGACAATCGGCAATGGCATCCAACGGAGGACATTTGATGCTGAAATGTCCTTGATTAACCAGTCGCGATGGTCATAGACAAATACTCACCGAAAGCAAGGCTGCTCTTACGTTACGAGGCCATGTGGTTCATTACCAGCGCTTACTTCCATTTCATTTCCATTACCGCTACCATTATCGGCATCATTTTGGGGCGGGACAATCATCATGAACACTCAGGTTTTGATACGGCGATGAACATGACATCCTTCTTAGTGACCCTCTACGTCGTGCGACCGCAGACCCTCCTGGCAGGCATTGGTTACTACAAGTAACACTCCTCCAGAACCTTGGGCAAGCCCGATTCTTGTGTAGGTATTAGCCACATCGAGGATGTCAGTCCGCTTTTCTGAAGAACCTGCCAACTGATACCTACCCAAATGGTCGGCGATGTTGGGGTTGGCGTGGATGCTGTAGAAGAACTTGACCATGATATCGTCTCCCTCGGCCGCCGCGATGTGAAGAGCAGTCTGGCCGTCTTTCTGTAATATCGAGAGATTCGGTCAGTGACACCGAGCGTGACATGTCGGCTTACTAAGAGGTTACATAACGCACATACGCACTGCATGGATAATGCGACGGTGCTTGCTGGCTAAAATGCCCCACAACGCAACACGAGGTCTATTTCGAAGAACGTCACATGATACCATGTGGCAGACAATGATGCCTCACAATTTCATGGGCGAGTAGATAACAGAGACACCATTTGCAAATATAGGCAATAAGGAGTATACCACAGCTAGCAGTGCAGTGCAAACATGACGTCATTGCATTTTTAAGATGTGCGATGTGGCGTCATATGAGGTCGTCGCTACGGGCTATGGTGTCATATTGCCCTACCTGAGCACTTTATAATGCTTTCATATTCTGGATTCCGCGGCACGAATCGGCTTACCTCATGCGCCCTCCAATGCAAATTTCATCAAAATACAACAGTAACCTTTCCCTGGTGTCTGACATCAAATGACACGTGCTAGATCGGTCAAAGTCTAAATATTTCCTTTTTGGAATATTTAAGGAGAACAGTGCAAAACCCTTTGTGCCAGTTTTCAAGGTTTGTACAGTCAATGGCTGCTATTTACTCGCACTGAGGTTTTGACGACCGCGAAGCAAACCAAGCACGGTATAATATACTGTCCCTCGGTAAAAGTATTGAAACTTTACGCAACAAAAGTTGCCAGATCTTTGAATGGTGGTACTGAACAAATACAGGACGCTTCTACCGTATAAATGATACGGGGGTCAAAACAGAGCCTTTGTAGAAGCACCAGTATCTAATACCTAATAGCTTGATGGGAGATGTGTGCAAGGCGATAATTGTGCATTCTCCAGTCTCGAACTCCGGCTGCCGTGGGGACGGCTGCCTCAGGCACCAGATCGGACAAAACAACACCAACTCTACGCAATGATAATTAACATTTAGCATCCGCTCTACAACTCGCAACATTTGATTCCGCAGGCATGCGCGCGCACTACAACAGTTTAGGATCTTATCACTGCGAGTGAGTGCCGCCCGGGGCGGCGGAGGCGGGCCTCCAATTGAAACCTTCCCGACCCGCACCGATCATAAACCACTGGCCGTGACCAGCGCATCAGCGAGGCACACCGCTCGGCAGTGCTAGGTCAGCACCCTATGCCTCGCTTCCACCTAACCAGCAGCTGGTAGGTACTCGGCACCGGGTGAGACTGAGCCGAGCCCGCAGCGTCGTGCGGTGTTGGGACGGCGGTGCCGGGGTAACAGGGCTAACACGGGGCGCTCAGTAAGTGCCCGCAGTGGGCGACCGATCAGTGGGCCACACGGGGCCGCCGCCGTGAGTTACTGCCTGTCCGCCGTGACCTCTGGAGTTTGACCTGACGCCGCGAGATAGTTTTTATACGACCGTAACCGAGAACGCCGGTCGTAAGTGTAACTACGAACGTGTAAAATCAGTGGAATGAGCTATCAGTGAAATTGCTTCGCCCTCACCAGCTGCCTGTAAGGTTCATCGTGATATATCCATTGAGCTTGCTGAGCATTTACTTCGAACGTCTTATACCCGATGGCGTTTGAATTTCCAAGCCTAGCACGTCTAACTTATAGATCATGAGCAATAAATCTGGCCACATTTTGAACGGTTCCGTTTCAAGGACGACATCGTGAGATCTCAATCATTTTGCTTGAATAATGTCGGCTTACATTCTGGGCAATTAAACCGAAGATATTTTGATTTTAAAAGACCCATAAGCATCACGTCACGAAAGCTAGACTTATCACTGTGTTTTGATACCGTCCTTCAGATAACCGCTTGCTGTTTTCCTATGCAGACTTGAAGTCTCCCTCCTTTTTTTGGCCCATGGAAGGTTCGCAACGTTTATTACAACTAAAATTGAAACCAAAACTTGAAATCTTTCTGGAATATGAAGCGTTTCCTCCACAATCACTCACGTTCTGGGCATCCACTTGGACTCCATAGTCGACAAACAGACGCGCCAGGTCAATGTCTCTCCGCCGCACGGCCAGGTGCAGCACCGAGTCCTTGTTGCTCTTCCGCACCTTCACCTGAGGTCAGAGGTCACAGGTCAGAGGTCAAGGGTCAGTGTTCCGTCTCAGGACAGAGGTCACAGGACAGCGACCTCTGGCTAAGACAATATCTGTCCTAATAACCACTGGTCAACTAAAAGATGCATGGTCATCGTGGCTGGGGAAAACTATCCTCGTACGAATGTAGGGCAATCTTCCTATTCTGAATGCCTTGCCTCTTGTTCACATTATTTACAGTACACCGATGGGCCAACAACTGACGCCACGATTTGCGTTGGATCGTGTGATCCATCTCATTGCCTCGCTGCTAAAATAGCACTTCGCATTTGTAAGGCCCTGGCAGCACTGAGACGAACACATAATAGTAGGATTTAGAAACCGCCCCAGTGCCCTATGAACCGAGATTCAGAGGTTGCGGGAGGATAATTAGCAAGAGCAAGGACTTGTATCATGCGCTAATATCGCATGATATGCTAATGATCTTCGCCTTTGCAGCGCCCAAATTTCTTACACAATCCATGACTTGACGGGACATGGTTAATGACAATCTCCGAGACTCTTATAGCTCTCGTAGGTATGCTAATCGTGGTTCATTTCACGTGCAGAGACGGCAGAGGCTGGCGTGGTACGGCCGTTGCTCATTTTGCGAATCGGTGCCACAAATTAGTCTGTCCGTCTGTTCTGGATTCCTCATAACTAAGGCTTGACCTCGGTGTAGGTCGGAGATGCAGAAGTATGTATGAACTGCTGAGGCAGTTGTGACCTAAATAAGTCAGCGTTAGCTGACTACGAAGTCAGTATATGTACATACATTTTGAAATACATTTTTTGATGTGATTTTTTAAAGACATCTAACGTTGGCGACCATTCATTGCAATCACTAAAAACGAAAGGCCAGATAATAAGGGTACCTATCGATGAATTACCGCGACATAGCAACAACTGCACAGTACACAGGCCATCGTCTATCGGTCTTGTACGTCAAATGGCTCGCGGCAGCTCGATGTAATTTCTGTCTACAGATGCTATTGCTGTATAAGTTACTCTCGTGTGCCCTCCTCGTATGCACTCACCTGCAGTTCGGGTTGATAGTTGAGCAGCTCGCGGCAGAGGTGCTGCGAGCCCGCCTCGATGGCCAGAAACAGCGGAATGTTGCCGTCCTGGGAACACAGACCCGTGGTCACAGCTCGGTGATATACGCGAGAGATATCAAGTCAGGAGAAACTCCGGTTGTGTCAACATGTGCTCTTACGCATTATTCAAGTTTGAATACATTTCATGGTCAGCTTACATGTTTAATGGGCTAAACAGCATGAATGAAAACAAAAATCCCGGCAGAAATATCTAAAGCCAACAAGGGAACTGCTTCGATGTTTAATTATCATGATACGGCACCGATAATTCTTGAGGTGCGCAAAATTATCCTAATGTGCACTTTCTGGTTCAGTGGCTGGCGCGCTATAGAAATCCTATATCATAATTGCAAAGTTGAATCTGTGGTAATGTACATACGTACATACGCACCGCACCATGAGGTAAAAACGGCCTGTAGACAGTTCGTACAAGTTTTTTACGGCATGTAGACAGCTCATTAATGACCACCCCTAAGCCAGGCCACAGGCCACCGTCAAATTCAAACACTGTCTGGACCAAATCAAACATCGCCATAGTGACTTCAGAGCTCCTACTGTTAACGCCAGACCCCTTGAGACCCTAATTTTTCGCGATTACTTTTAAATGCGTGAAGGAATTTCAACCAAGCTCAGGACATGGCCGTTTCAAGACAGGCCGAAACTTTTACAATTTAGATATTTTATCGCCATTTCAATATTTCAGGCACTTGTCATTGACTCATAATGTTAACTGTTTTTCCATCCTGGATAGAGGCTTTCTACGTCATATGACATTAGGCTCCGCCCACGACTGCGGCATTGACCCGTGCCCATCAGCGACCTCTGTACAAACGACACCCCTGCCATCTGTGAAGGACTATGAATTTCGCTGACGCTTCACGTGCTATGAGTCAATTGCAGCAGACGGTTAAGTAAATGTTAGGCTCTTGTTGACTCTTGTATATCAGTAGGTGGAACTATGGTCATGAGTACCCAAATATAGGAACGTTCCCATTTTTGGGAACGGAGTTCCCAAATATGGGAACGGGCGTTCCCAGGGGCGGATCCAGGAAAACTCCAAGGGGAGGGTCATGAATCGAAGTGGTGCCCCTACCTATACCCAAAATTAAAAACTCAACGGATTTCGTCCACTTCATTTTGGTGGTGCCCCCATTTTCAGTTTTTTTATTTTTTTATTTTTAGTCAGTATCTTAACTCTTAGCCACAACCACATTTACCAATTGTAAGCAAGTATATATGAATGTGCTATGTGCATAGATGCTATGTGTATATATGTTGTGGACGCTGAGTAGTGAGTACTTACCAGGAACGTTATCAGGTAAGTAAGCAAATCGTTGTCAGTCCGACGAACTTGACCCTGGCGTCCTAAAGGGTCTGTCCTTGACACTTCAGGCTTGTCAGGGGCACCAAAGTCCTTAAAGGGACACCACAAACATTTCAGGGGCACCTACGGCCTTGTAGGGGCGCCACAGGCCCGCCAGGGGCACCACAGGCCTGCCAGGAAGTAGGGGCACCACAGGTCTAGCAAGTACATATACACGACAGGCCTGTCAGGGGCACAACGGACCTGTTGGGCCCATGAGCACCCCTAGGGGCAGGGGCACCACAGTCCTTCCAGGGGCACCGCAGGCCTGTGAGGGGCACCAGCGGCCTAGCAGGGGCACCAGTCAACACAGGCCTGCCAGGGGCACCACAGACCTGCAAGGGGCACCAGAGGTCTGCCAGGAGCACCACCGACCTCGCAGGGGTAACTTGGGCCTGTCAGGGCCCAGGGGCACTACGGGCCTGTCGAGAGGCACTTCAGGCTTTTCAGGGGCACCATAGTCCTCTCCGGGCGCAGGGGTAGCAGGGGCACCAGAGGCCTGCCAGGGGCACTACAGGCCTAGCAAGGGCACCACTGGTCTATCAGGGGCACCACGAGCCTGTCATAGCCAGGCATCTCAGGCTTGTCAAGGCCCAGGGGCACCACAGGTCTGTGAGGGGCACCAGCGACCTAGCAGGGGCACCAGTCAACACAGGTCTGCCAGGGGCGCCACAGACCTGCCAGGGGCACCAGAGGTCTGCCAGGGGCACCACCGGCCTCGCAGGGGCACCTTGGGCCTGTCAGGGGCACCACGGGCCTACCGAGGGGCACTTCAGACTTTTCAGGGGCACCAGTCCTCTCCGGGCGCAGGGGTACCAGCGGCCTAGCAAGGGCACCAGAGGCCTGCCAGGGGCACCAGCGGCCTAGCAAGGGCACCAGAGGCCTGCCAGGGGCACCACAGGCCTAACAAGGGCACCACGGGCCTGTCAGGGACACCTCAGGCTTGTCAGGGCCCAGGGACACCACAGTCCTTCCAAGGGCACCGCAAGCCTGTCAGGGGCACCAGAGGCCTGCCAGGGGCACCACAGGCCTAGCAAGGGCACCACTGGCCTGTCAGGGGCACCTCAGGCTTGTCAGGGCCCAGGGGCACCACAGTCCTTCCAGGGGCATTACAAGCCTGTCAGGGGCACCAGAGGCCTAGCAAGGGCACCACAGGCCTGCCATGGACACCACAGGCCTGCCAGGGGCACCACCGCCCTTGCAGGGGCGCCTCAGGCCTGTCAGGGGCACCACGTGCCTACCGGGGACACTTCAGGCTTGTCAGGGGCGTTACAGTCCTGTCAGGGCCCAGGGGCACCAGGCCCGTGGTGTCCCTGCTAGGCCTGTGGTGCCCCTGGCGGTCCTGTGGTGCCCCTGTCAGGACTGTGATACCCTTGATAGGCCGGTGGTGCCCCTGGCAGGTCTTTGGGCCCCCGGGCCTCAAGGGGGGGGGCCATGACCCATGTGACCCCCCCCCCTTGGATCCGCCCCTGGGCGTTCCCATTTATGGGAACGGAAGGTAATTTTTCGGCCGTTCGCCCACTAAAACTCATTAGTGCATCACGTCTCAAAAAAGTGCACGCTAATTTAAGTATCTACTAAATCTCTATAAAATTATCTTTAATCTGACCGTTGAACAAGGAAATTGACCGTCGAATGATATTTTTAATGATTTTTTTGAAATGACGGAATGGTGAAAACATGGGTTATAGGTACTACATTTAACATGCAATTTAAAGGAAAATGAAGCGTGTTTTACATTTTGCGGTCAAGTATAATAATTTTCGCCTGGTTATGAGGTTTCATACTAGCGACACCAGATGCTGACATATGCAAGCGAACACGCGGACAGTCCCGAGGTAATATTGTTGACTTTTGGTCTCGGGGCGCACGACCGCGTGGAACGTCAGTGATTTTACCGAACTACTGTTGTAAACTCAGTTTCAGTGGTTTAAAATTATTCAGCTGTATTTTATCAGCCCGGAAAGACATATTTTATTTGGATGCTAGCTGTTTAGCATTGTTTTATAAGGAGCGTCATGAGCGTGGTTTTTGTCTGCCGTGTTTCTAAGCATGATCGTTTTGGGGGAATTTCTCTTATATAGGTCGCTCTGTGTGGCTTATTTATAATTTTTATGCTGATTTCGATCATTCCTCGTGCCCATCCTACCAGGCCTTTTGCCACTTACACTCATTAAGAAAGGAAAAAACTAGATTTTCCATGGGACTAGGTGTTTTGAGGGTGTAACATATTCAGCGTTCCCATTTTTGGATACTTCCTTGTGCTCGTCAACTATCGGTGATAAACAGACAGGTGCTTGGCATGTCTCCACCCTCGGCGCGAACGGTGGATATAGGTATGGAAGACCTTGTTGAACATCGCTGAGCGTTGTGAATTACGTAATCCTGCAGAGGGGGGGTGCCCGCTGCGAGATCGACGGGAATAAAAGCGCAGAAGACCGGGCGGAACATGCGACGGTCTTGCCGGAAAGGTCATCTGATGATTGTTGCTTAACAATAATTTGCGGCGTTGGACATGATGCTTGTTAATGAAAAGAGCCCCTGAAAGAAGTCGGTGAAATCGTTCCCAATTTTGGGTACGCCGTTCCCATAATAAGGAACGCTTGCAGCGCCAGTGTACGAGAGCGTTCCCAAATTTGGGTTCGCGGCCCGGATGATGGACTGCTTTAGAAATAGGGGAACGATTTGAAACTACGATGGGCCTTACAATATCAAACTCTTTCCCAACAATATTGAGACAAATATCAGGCGGTTCACGATCGTTTTATATTTTTTGGACGTCATTTAACGGTTCTTTTTCTTGTTTTAAATAATTCCTACATGGCGTTCCCATATTTGGGTTTATCGTTCCCAAACATGGGAACGAAAATGCGTTCCCGAAAATGGGTACGCTTGACCATAGTTCCGCCTACTGATATAGGACCAAGAGGACCATCACTCCTCAACCTACTACTCAGTCGTGCTTCGAACAAACGTTAACGATTCCTAACAAATACGATTTTCGATGTAGGGTATCTGTTTGAAATACGAGCGAGCCGTATGATGTGAAGCTCAGGCAATTAACTTATTATTGCGTTGTTCGATGGTTGCATAGCGATGTACAAATCGGCAGCTACTTGGTGACATCCGACATCCCATTATCGCATTATCTGCAACGCCATAGGCTTTAAATGCAGGTGAATATTTCCTAACCTTATGTCAGTTATATGCCATCTGCCCGTCATTTGCAGCTTATAAAAAAAAATATCAGCGAACATATCAGCATTGTAGAAGCAATGCGCATTGAGCATTTATGACTCCTTAGTCATCATGTCGCTCTCTGGGCACTGTCAGCCAAGACGCTACGCACAACTCCGCCGGCTTTCGGCACCGCTCGCCCGTCGCCCGTCCCCGCTCCCCGCCACAGCGAGAGTGACCGCGCGCCGGCCCGAAACCGCCGCAGGCCAAGACCACAGAGGCGGGGCTTAGCTGTGACGTCATAACGTATCACAGACTGACTGGTGATAGCCTCTACACACCGGATGAAAATCTTGCTCGAAATTTAACATTACGAGTCAATGACAAGTGCCTGAAATATTGAAATGGCGATAAAATATCTAAATTGTAAAAGTTTCGGCCTGTCTTGAAACGGCCATGTCCTGAGCTTGGTTGAAATTCCTTCACGCATTTAAAAGTAATCGCGAAAAATTAGGGTCTCAAGGGGTCTGGCGTTAACAGTAAGTATCACAACTAACAAAGGAATTCAGTGCTCGCTGAGCCGGGTTTCCTGGAACAACCCCGCCGTGCCAGTCGCCGCCAAAGGATTCCGAACGCCTCCGCATCACCCATTGACCGGCGGAGACCTTGAAGAGCACCGGGGCTACATAACGCCTGGTGGCATGACCGGGATTGGGGAACGACTTGTCGCCGAGTATGTCACGCCCGTGAGACCTCGTGGCCGCCGAGCGACCACGAGGCGCGGGTGGCGGCGGGATTTGGGCGCGCGGGCTCGACCACAGGGCGGGATCGATGCCGAGCCACCGGAGCTCCTGAGAAAGTGGAGCCCGTCACGCGAGTCGCGTTTGTCGGAGTTGGTCCGACTCGGCCCGACTCCGGCCCCCGGCGCTCGTCGAGGCTGTGCCGACGACGGCTGCCGCGTGCTCGGACTCTTTGTGACACGCCCGTGTGTTTGTGGTGACGGCGAGAGGAGAAACGGAAACAATGTCTTCATCATCGTCATAGATGAAAACACGATATTCTTAAGAATTGAAATTGATTTGAATGGGTTTAATTTCAACAAAACCAAGCACGAACAATATGTTTCGTAAAATGCTCATAGGTTTTCGGGACCTGGACGCGATGAATGAGTAACGCACTGCTTTGCCCCGTTTGAATGGCGTCAACGGGATATCGACTGATCCCGGATTGTCACAGGTGGATGCGAGCTATTGCGGCCTGCTATGAGGACCCACACGATGCATCACGGCTGGGTAGATTTGATCACAGACGGATCACGGACCAGCACGGACCATCACGGGTCGCCACGAATCGACACGGCGAGCGGTCGTTTGTGGTCCAACTGACAGCTTATCGGCCGACGGGCGTGTCGATGTCCATATGCAAACGTGCCGCCCGAGGAAATCTGGGATTGTCACACTGAAATAGCTGGCGCGGGCTGCCGGCTCGCTGGATCGATGGCAGTCCGCCGTGAGCTCCAAGTCGTCACGGCTCCAGGTCAACTGGCGCGTGGGCCCGTCCCTCCTCGGGAGGTCTTCCAAACGGGGGTATAGGGCTGGCTGGGATGTTTGATCAACGAGAGAAGCGGGTAGAGATGGTGCTCTTGCTTAGAGTTAGTTTTGACAGTAGGTAGAAGCAGGGATGCGGAGCCGTGGAAATTTCAGACGGCTCCGGCTCCGGCTCCGGCTCCGGAGAAAAAAATCGGCTCCGGCTCCGGCTCCGGCTCCGGGTGAAATGTTATGGCGGCTCCGGCTCCGGCTCCGGCTCCGAGTAAAATGGTCCGGCTCCGGCGGCTCCGGCTCCGGCGGCTCCGGCTCCGACTCAGTACATCCCCTACGCAATCAATTAAATACGGGTGGAAGAAAAATTGGATTGGTTATACGCGTTACTCTTTGCCATGACCGGCTCACCGCGTCCCCGCGCAAACGCACCTCGGAGAGAACTGGCAGAACAAAGGGCTAGGAAGCGATGGCATTGGAAACGCAGTCGCCGCGAATCGGAGTTCAGTGAACCATCGTAAGCTGACACCCGTCTCGGCTGCATTGGGGGGTGAGGGGTGGGGGGTGTGTGGGATGAGACGGTGCTGGGAGTCGCAGTCCACTGCACTGGTTTGAAAACAATGGCCGTCACCTGATGACTGGTCCTCATGTTCTGGGGATGCAGTAGACGTGGGGGGGGGGGGGGGGGGGGGGGGAGAGCAAACAGGAACTTGATTGCGTAGGGGAGAACGGGGTAATTTGGCCGGTGGTGTAAATTGGCCGCCCCCACCTGTACGATATCTGATAAAAGTGAATGAAATAACTCTATTCTCTTTTCATTTGTCATGGGTAGAACTAACTCGAGGACAAATGTCAGAACCTTCCCCCTCATAGTTTTATTCAAAATAAATAAAACGTGAATTTCATTAGAAAATGGTAACTTTTACTTCCGTTTAAAAAGTTGTATAACATGCAGTATTTGGGATATAAGCGAATTCCGGCATTATAGCGCCATTCTGCGGGGTGTTCAGCGGTTCCAAGAGCAATTTCATTTAGTTCCGTACAGCCATGACGACTTTATAGACACAAATTCTAAGAATAGCAATGTGGGGTTATTTGCCCGCGACTAGCGGGGCAAATTGGCCGGTGCGCTCAGGGTCGCTTTCCTGGGACGGCCGAGTTGTCATGGTCAATTATACCATCAATGACATAATTCATGACCAACTTTGACTACCTTGCTGCCTTATTTCCTATTGGACAGCTGTAAGGGCATGTGACGTCATCAAAGATAACCAAACATTTTTTTGCTAATAAATTCTTACAGAAAAAAGATACAGCCACGCAAATGGTCTCATTGTGTTCAGCTCGTCAAGGCGCATCGAATGATATACATGTTGACCTTGAAATCACATGACCTTGAGGTCAAGCGACTTCAGGTAGCGTGACCTGAAGTCAACCTTTGACCTTGACCTCTCGAGGTCAACACATATATGTTTCGATGCGGACTGACGAGAGAATTACGATGCTACTTTTAGTTTTGACCTAGCTTGATTACTTCAAAAGCTAGTCGTAAAAAACTGTGATTGCATCTAGAGCCGCTATTTTGACTATTTTCGACCCCTGTGACCGCTGAGTCAACCTCCGAAATGCGTCAAATGCGTCGTAGGACACACGTCATTGCTGAATGTGAGGCTGACTCGCCACTAACAAAAAAAATACCGGCCTAAAACTAACACCGGCCAAATTGCCCCACACCCCCGGCCAAATAACCCTGCTAGTGGGGCAATTTGGCCGCCTTGCAGACCTTTCTAATACGTCACAATTTCAATATAAGTAGTAACTCTATCATTTCAAGATTACTGTCCAGTAAAGTAAAATGATTGCAACACCTGCCAGCGTTGAGAAAATGCAGAGATGTGTTGTCAATTTTATGTTACATCGTTTTCTAAAAAAGCGGCCAAATTACCCCACTCTCCCCTACTGTGGGATACTGGGGATATTCGGATTTTTTCATTCACTTGATGGCCCATGACGTAAGTACCATATGTTTTACTGCCTTGTACTGTCAAACCGAACTAGGTCAATTATTTTTTCCTCTTCAAAAAAATAAAAAGGAGCCGGAGTCGCCCCCTTTTTTGGCGGCTCCGGCTCCGGCTCCGGCTCCGGGCTATATTGTTTCACGGCTCCGGCTCCGGCTCCGGCTCCGGGCAAAATATGCCGGCTCCGGCGGCTCCGGCTCCGACTCCGGCTCCGGCTCCGCATCCCTGGGTAGAAGTGTATGATTAAAACATCACGGGTAAGTTGGAGGGGTAAATGGCATTTCATTTATTTTCTAATTTAATTTTTACTAGGCGTAAGGAAATAGAACGTTGGCAAGTAACCGAGGCTTTATTTTGTGCTACTATTTGATTGGAACTTTAATATAAATCGTAGATCATGAGAGGGGTAAGGGTCGTGATATAAATATAGCTATGAAAATTGATTGGTTTGATTGCCCATCCCATTATTTTTCATCAGGAACGGTGCTAACGTGTGTTACCGTTGATTAGTATATTTATCGGTAGAGAAATGGTTTAAAAATGGTCACGCGATGTTTTCTACATAAAGGATTGTCACGATCGCGCTGAAATATTGCCACAACCCGCAGTTATTACACACCTCAGGGTTAGTTCAGCCATACACATGCATGCATACGTCTGAGAACTCACCGAGTCTTTGTCAAGCAGGGCCTTTAGCAGTGTCCGCTGGTTTAGCGTGGAGCTGCCTGGGTGGAAAAACTGCCGCCAGACAGACACGGTGTGAGGACATTGGGGTAAAGCCGTGGGCCGGAGAGCTGCGTGAACCTCACCAACAGAGCTCGGGTCACAGAGCTAACAAAGCCAGGAAGACAGCCAGGGTCGCTGGTAAGCGGCAATCGGCCTCTGGGAGATTCGATGAGAACAATTGGCCTTATAAAAGCATTGCATGTGATGTGAAGCGGTCACATATATAATATAGACAATAAATAACATCATATGAGTGCTCACATACGTACAACATGTACAGAAATAGCAATGTTAACTTACCTTGTCTTGAATGGGTGCCGTCAACGTGTACGTTTCTGTTGCAAAACTCTGCAAATACAAATCAACGTAACAAAAATAAGTAGCTTTTATGGTGAGCGACATACGTGGGAAAAGATAAGTTGAAAACATAAGGCATGCAATATAGTGAAACGTGCTGGCACCATTCAGTGAGCCCATGGTTCAGAGGCATGTTTTTAGACACGGCTGTGGCTCAGGATTTCAGAAGATCAAGAAAACACAGCCAAGGTCAAGTTGGCTGGCCAGACCTGAGAAAATGTAACCCTGAGGCATTGCAGAAGATAGTTTGTCCCATTCTCAGTCATTTGTTGACTTTTGACTGCAGAGTGTATCCCAAAGATTAATCGTGCGGTCGCACTATGAAATCACAATAATGCGACGCACCATTCTATGCGTTCCGATTGAAAAATGCGGCCTCATTGTTGTCAAGAAGATATGATTATAAAACGTAAGTACTCACAACACCTGGCTAAAAAGACTAGTAAAAGTTGAGTAAAACCACTCACGTCAGATTCAAAATAACTGCTAAACCGAAAAGGCAGTTGAACGTAATCGCATCAAAGGCGTCATTGCAACATTGAAATCATGCAGTTCGATCGGCCACTTGGCACACTGTGCATGTCACCGTGCAGCACACAGACATGCAGCGCTCCGCCGGGCAGACCGCGGGTGTCACACCGACCCGTCTCGGTCCAGACCGATGAATGGATACGCACCACGTCCTTGACGAGGCGGACGTCGCGTGTCGTCGTCTGTAGCAGCAGCCGGAGGATGTTGACCGCCAAGCCGGCCGTGCGCGTACACACCAGGTGCACGCAGGTCATCTTCTTCGGCTGGACGCGGGGTAAGCGGGAGGGCGAGTGGGGAGGGGTCAATGGAATGCTCATTGGTAAAGACGGCGGAGATCATCGCAAATTAAAGAATTGCTTGATCAAAAATAATTGGTTGATCATCAAAAAGATTTAGTTTTAATGGAGGAAGGGTGTGAAATTATCTTTGAAACATCAATTATCGATTGCTTGCAATTCATGCCATTCTGGCCAATTTGATCGCAAGTTCGGCTCAGGTAAATCTGCGTTCCGGTTGGGTCTGCCTGCTTACCCCTGTGAGGGCGTTAACGTCTGCCCTCCTGTTCAGCAGCGTCTTCACCATATCTTCCCGAGCGTGCAGCACGGCAAAGTGTAGGATCGAGAAGCCATCCTGAGGACAAACGCAGACGGTCAGTGTTCGGTCAGATTACACGCACGGCGTTGGGTCAGATTACCTATACGGTCGGTGGTGCGTCAAATTACAGGACGTCGGCGGTGGGTCAAGTTACAGACAGTCGGTGATGATTCAGCTTCCAGAATGGCTCGTACCGGGACGGCTGGGACCACTTCTGCGCCTGCCATCTATCGGGCAGTGTTTGGAACTACAGCGGGCGCCGGCCGGCCGCGCCGCGCGGCGCCGTTACCGGGCTATGGAGGCGAATGAAGTGGTATAAAACCAGACGAATTTTACGCTTGTAAAGCAAAAAACGAAAAATGTACACTCACCACAGTGTTCAGCAAAGTACTGGGAACACTATGGACATAATTTAAAGCTAGTACGATGCGAACTGTTGGTTCCCTAGAGCAGTATTTACATACTTGTAGGAGATAGGACTTTAACATTACGGGAGCTTCTAAACTGCGCTCGCAAAGTACTTGATTGTAAATATTTTCATTTCGAGGCAAAAATCTAAAAATGTACAGTCAGAGCGTTGTTCCCAATGCTTCTAGGTACACAATGAGCATAAATTTAGCTCTAAATGTCATCACACATTGGTTCCCAGTCCAGTTTAAAACGACACTTTGTGCCGCAGAGCCTATCTCTTCCAATGGATGGCGGCTGGGTGGCGGTTGTAGTGGTGGACAAGACAATTCTTGAGTGAAATGAAATCATTTGCTTTCAAAGAATAAATTTGAAGAACTTGTAATAATTGACAAAAGATCGTTAATTACAGTGTATAATTTCAAGTTCATGGCAAATGAAAATATTTTAAACAATGCTAGTGAACCCCAGTACCGCCGCGCGAGAAAGCAAGTACTCGACGCACGGTCTGCCCGCCACTTCTGAAAATGGTCCGCGGCCGGCCGGCCGCGACCCGACACGTTTTAGTCGGGTGAGAGGATATCAGCAAACGAGGGATTGGAGCGCTTACTATTTCAGCATTTAAATAGTTTTTCGTTCATGACGGCTAACGCCATTCCATGCGTCCAGATCATCATGTCACAAGCTAGCAATCATCGAACACATGCTTATGACGGTGCAATAGGTATTAATTGAACATCCATATAAGAATACCAGCTCGAAAACTTCCTGTAAAAATGTGTATTTTGGCCCTAAGCCGGCACCAGGAAGTGCGGCGGCCGCTGAGGGTTACGGCAAATCTGGACGGGTGGCGTGCAGCGTAAATTCCCCCGGCTGTCCCCGGGCCGGCACGCATCGTCTCTGCGGCTGACGAATGGCGCTCAACGTACACCGAGGAGGCGCAGGCCTAATCGAAAACGAGGGCTGCGATTTCGCAGTTCAGAACTCCGTATTGAATTCTTATAAACAAGCGGAAACTCCACACTTCGTGATATATAGCCAATAAATCATTTTATGATAAGAAATGCCACTTGCATGGTGATGAGCTTTAGTAAAAATGATTAAAAACTTACAACACTTCGCACGAAATGGAATAGCCATTGATTGCAAAGCAAGCAATTCTCTGGATCATGTACCTTTCGCAACTTCCCGCAGTCAGGCCCATGCCTCACACTCTACTAACTCTCAGCGGGCCGTCGTCGCCTTTGTTCCACCAACAACGGCGTGGCCTGCCGTGTGTTCGGGAACTTTCGATGAAGCCCATTCGGCTGTTTATGAAGCGCTCAGTCGTAGCGGGGGTCAAGGTGAGCCAGCTGTTGGTCATCGCCGCTGCCCCACACAGCACAGCACCTGGGTCTGATGGCCTCCTTACGGTCCACCTGTGCTGACCAGCGGTTGTCGTCACCCGCTGCGAGGGTGCTCCGGCCACATCAGACCACCACTTAGGCGCTCAACCCAGCGGTACAGTCCGGTGTAACGACACACACAGAGACGGGTGTCCTGTCAATCCATCTGAGGGGAGATCTCTGTCACGTGAGTCTGCTGATTGACACAAAGACGGACGGTCTTCGTGCCTTTTTATCAAGGCACGTCAGTCACCGGCACCCCAAAGAAAAACACCAGCAACGAGCTATCATCGCGACACGAGTGTCGCCATCGACACTGAGTCTTGAAAAGTCCGGCAAAGTGGCATTGCGGATATTGAACTAATCTAGCCTGGATAACGGTCGGCAGACGGCAGACGTCTGTGGCAGCGGCGACAAATCGAACGCTTCACGGCCACATCCGTCCCTGTCTGTGTTGTGGATAACGATATGCTAACAGGCCGTGTCGGGACCGGCCGTGATTTGGCCGCGATGGACTCCAGTCGTGGCGACGGAGACACCAAACCGTCGATCAGAGCCGCTAAAGGCTGGCAGTGTGTGCTGGGACGAAAATAGGTGCTGGGGTAAGTAATTGACAGAACGTTTCAGAGCAATGAATTGTCACTGAGCCTTGTCAAACGTCCTTTATCGCCTGTTTCGATAATATATTTCAGTGGGAAGGTGATGCGTTGTTGGGCAAAATATTACATCACGACTTTGTGAAATATCATAAATTATCTCTGTTCCTGTCTGCGCCGAGCAACATTTCAATGGGAAATTACATCCATATTGCATCACGGATGACACAAAACTTGTGCAGAATGGATAACACTTGTTCTAAAAAGTAATGATCTTTGAATACCTAAATAGCGGCTATGGCTTTTGAGCATATTTGTATGTCATGCTATGGGTTGCGGCCATAAGACTATCAGCCGGCCGTTGTGCAAATATTTGTTTTACGCCGCCAAATGGTGAACCCAGCCATTGTGTGTAGTGTGTACATACATATGACCGCAAAAATGTCAACGATGTTTCATCGTGACCTTGACTCAGAAAATTCGTGGAGGCACGAGGTTCGTAAATTCGTTCACAATTTACATGATGCAAGTTATAACATACCTAGCACATATCCATGTGTCGACAATCCTTGATCATCTGCGGCTAATATGCTGCTTCCGTTCTTTTCAGCTCACGTTATCCACCATGGCATGCCCTTTGTGGTTGGTCATACTTTGCACCGGATTTTTAAGCTCTACGGACATATATTAATCGTACCATAAGCGAAGTTCCAATGTCAATATTAGCCTTTTGTCGGCGTCCCTGTGGCGGTCAGCCCGCTACGAAGACCTCGGCCCATGACCGACGGGTCGTTACTGCAGCCACCCCTGGTGTCAGCTCAGTCAGACGGTATCCTTATTACCTGTCTCCGCTCCTCCTGCTGCGGAGACAGGGGAGAGGGGGAGGGGACGGGGGTATAAGTCGACACGCACCCCCCGGATCGATCCCGCGGGGCGGCAGCGTGGCGACCCCCGTCGGCAGGTTACCACGTCTGTGTGTGACCCAGTTCTGCCCCCGGGTGGTGTGCAGACCAGCGAATAGGTCACGGGTCAGCAGGTCAGATTTGGTCGCCTAGTTAGGAGACAGACTGCGGTTAATTTTGTTTTTATTGTATTTTACCGTTAAATAATAATGATAGCCCTTCGTAATGAACTGGGACGAACTTTCTGCAGTGCCTGACCGAAAACCAGAAAGGGCACGTATTGAACTTGAATATCATGAAAGTGCCTGACCCATGACTGACATGCATTTTTTTATATCAAGTCCACCAGTGCAGACCGTGGATGATCAACGCTAAATCAAACAAGGCACAAACAAAGAAAGTCAAATTTAGCACAAATACGATTCAATGGATTACAATGGCTATGTCGGTGAAGTCATGGATGCCTATGTCATCGCTTTGTTCTCCAGTAATTTGATTTGAGAAATAAAACATCAAAATAGCCGCGCTTATGAACTGAAGCCTTCACGATTCACGATGCAGCTCCCACCGCTGGTTAAAAAGTTATGTGCCCGCTGGCCGTGATCTTATCAAAGATCGTGAGGTCAGGAAGTGTAAGGGCATGGCGTCACTTCAGAAGGCGTCTCTTTATAGACACAAACGATCCAAAATGTGCACGATCCATATTTCGAACGCAGTAGTTTGCATAGGATTGTGTGCATTGTGCAAAGTTTCGCTCCATCGCTGAGACAGCCCTCTGCTGTTACGGATGTAAAACTTGCCGGGGAGCACTTTCTTTCGGAAACATCGTCGGCCAACGGTCTCGTCGCACGCGACGCTGGCGGACGGTAAGGCGCCGACGCGACGCGACGGGGCCAGCCTTGCCCCAGATCGGCCGTAGTTCACGCCAGGCGGCACGGTCACAGCACGGCGGAGCGCTAACGGCGGCCGAGGCGCCGCGCCAGCCCTCATCGGCTGTCACTGATTGGTTTCAATGGGGCGAGCCGTGAATATTCACGATTTCCGATGGGGCGAACTGTGAATAACCACTGGTTCCAATGGGGCGACATGTGAATAACCATGGAACGCTAGTGAGAGATCCGGTGTCGGTGTGTGATCACTCCCATTGTGATGGGCCATGAACCGAGCAGACTCCACACGGCGCAGTAGTTAACTGCCGGCCGTGTGAGAACAAGGAGGTATAGTTACACGGAACAACCCATCCTTGACATACATCATACCGACATATTGCACCGGCGTGATGCATCTGAAAACACGCTTCCAGGGAGACCCAAACAGAAAGGCTACGACTTCGATGAGTGATCTGTTTGCTTTTGTTATCAAAGAATATGTGTGAGATTCAGTGGTAGCTGGTCCATTTCGTCTGAATAATGACGTGTCACCTGTGACGTGTGGATGACGTCACAGTTTCGCGGCAGCGGCTTGGGGTCGCGTGCAGTTCCCCCCCCGGGGCGTGCGGCGTCCCGAACGTCGTATTACGCAGCGGCGAGCCGATCCGTGGGGGAGCCGGATAGGGGAGGCGGAAAGGGGAGGGGCGGGAACACAGTGGGCGGAGTTGGAACTGGGAAAGTTTAGTGAGGCCATTCAGGGTCAGAACTTTTAGTCAACTGTTACAGTTCTGATGTATAAAATTTGAACTGACTTATGCGGAGGAATTACCGTAAGGTGATCCTGCTGGAAGACAAAGTATTTGAGATGGGGAAAAT